ACGATCGCAAATGCTGTTTTAGAGAAATTTTTATAAATATTTGTTTGCAATAATGTATCTCGGTATAATTGTATAATTATTCGTCCTGGAACACGAAGAGACTGTTGTAATTAGAACGAATTAATGAAACAGTATCGAAATGGAAATGATAGTTTAGTATCGTAAGAAAACCGTGTGGGAATTCGTGCCACTGTCGTTTCACAAATGCACGCGATATTGAGAAGAAATACAAACAAATCGCTGCTACCATAACACCGTGAGTGCTGTCAGATCGTTTCTCGCTATTACCACACCTATTATTACTGATACTGCTTTGTGCTCACTATGACATAAGCTAAAATAGAGAACACTTAATATATTGTTATACAGAAGATACTAGTTTATTTCATCAAAAACCATCTTTAAATATCCTAATTTTTTATATACAATACTTTTATTTTTATTAAAATATACACGTTTTATTATATGTACAAATGTATATGTAATAGTAAAATCTTATTCTAGATATCTTAGATAAATTTATACATTTATACATCATTTTTTACACTGACATATTTATTATGTCCTAATATTTTTGTAATTTGTTTTAAAATCCGAAGAATCTGAATGCGAGCAATTTTTTTAGTTTGATGAAATTCCTCACAATATTTTATAAATTACGTTGATGATTACGCCATAGGATAATCAATCCATCATTATCCGCAGATGCGAGTAAAGATTCGTCATAATTAAAGGACAAAGCTAATGCAGGTGTTGCATGGCCGTGCAGTCGATTGATCCTAGCGGCCTTTCCCTCTCTCGTTGAATCCAACAAATGAACGGCACCATCTTCCGATCCCGTGGCTATTAAGCACGCACCCATTTGTGGACAGAAAGTAGACCTCAAGGGATATAGTCTACAAAAGATACACGCAAATATATATTATATCGTAAGCAAAAAACGCGAAGTTTTTTTTTACATGATGAAAATAATACCTATGTTTGATAGGATACTTTCTCCAAAAGTATAAAGAACCGTGATTGTTTGCAATACGATATAATAGTACGGCATTGCACGCGCTACTTATTAACAGAGCAGCCCAAGGAGCATCCTTTGATAGCCAAGAACGCCAGGAAAGACTGGTTATCATTCCACCAATCTCCTGCACTCTTCGCAACTTTGTCAACCGTCCTATGCCAGTTTCTAATCGAAAAGCCATTATAACGCCTCTGTCATTGCCTGCCCAGATCACCGAACCACCGCTACCCTCGCATGCCAAGGAAAGAATCTAAAAATGCGACATAGCAATTTATACGCTTGCTTTTTAAATGTCGCTCTATTTCTCAAGCTGAAACTGACCTTTCCGCCAATTTTGCAGGATCCACCGCGCGTATATATGCCGGTAGATACATTCAAGATCTGGATCAATCCTTGAGAATTGCCAGCTACTATTAAATTATTATTGGCAGGTATGAAATTGCAGCAGAGGACTTCCGCTCGCTGTTGATCGTCCACTACTCGCAAACAAACCGGATCTACATCCATATATATTCTCCACAACCTTATTGTCGCGTCCAAAGAAGAAGAAACAATCAGATCATTGCTGATACTCCAATCAAATGCAGTCACACCGTTACGATGGCCCTCCAACAGAGCAATCACCTTCGGAGGTATACTGACGGCTTCACATATTGACAATGTACCATCCAGCGATGCGCAACATAATTTGGATCTATCATTATTGGCAAACTTGAGCATTGTTACAGCCGCCTTATGCTGATCGAAAACATGATGGACTCCGGCGAATGCAAAGTTCTCTGCTGTTGATTTCCGTTGTACGTGCTGATGTCTCGTTCTATTTTCCGATGATTCTTCACTTATAGTGCGACTTCCCATACTGTTTTGCTCCAACCTTTCTCCATAACGTCGCCGTAATAGTTCTGATCGTAATTTCAAGTATCCTGCGCCAATCTCTGGGTCTGTAGAAAATTTCTCCCGAAGCAATTGATTCCTTCGACGAATGTACAACATACCTAGAACAGGAGAATTCAAACGTAATGAAAACTAACTTGACTGAGTAAAGTAATGTAAGTAAAAGCGTTAAACATACCCAGACTGGGGAGCTTATTAGCCCGTAGTGTATTATACTTTGCATCGAGTGCAAACACCTGTTGATGCCACGTAGTGGCCATCTTCCGCGATGTGCCAGCCTCGACGTTACTGATTTGTACTTCTGTCATCGATGTATGCGTAACGTTTTGTAATATTTCACAAAAGCATTGCAAGAGATACAAACCTTTTTTCTATTAACTACACGACGCTATTCATGTGTATAGCTTAAAACTTCGCATATCTTCGCAAGAAACGCATATAAAAAGTCATAAAGAAAGTCTAATAAAATAAGGAAACTGAGAACGCACACGCGACTTTTTTTCGTTTTCACTATTCAAGATTAAATTTTAAATTAACAAATCGATCCTATTCGATCGTAAACGCGCTCATCGTGTAACTTCTTTAGTCAGCGACTTCTTACTTCTAATCTCCTTATCTTTTTCCTCGATGTTTTAACAGCCATCGTTCGAGAAGTTGTTGTTCCAATTTTCTCCACTTTTCTCAAAGGATATTAATTTATTAACAATATTTGCGATTAATCATTTATTCCTTCCATTTTTATTTCGCAAGGTTATATCCTCCAACACTTCCTTCGACTTTCAGCCATGTTCAAACTCTTCACTCTCGAATTGATCAATCGATTCGGGCGGACCGCGAATTTCAAAATAAGCACAGTAGATATTTTGCGGATGGAGTAACTTTTACTGCAATTTATAAGTAAAGGAATTTTATGTCATCGGGAAAAAGTTGTTTTAAAGAAATCGAGGAACACGTTAAACGTACGGGAACATAATACAAAGATTTGCACCACGGATATGTAAATCGCCAGACTTCTTTAATACATTTATTCTTATATATCCATATTTATACACAGTAGTAGCTATTATTATTATTATTATTAATCATATAATAGCAATAGTTGAGTAATGCATATATCGTGCATTCTCTCTCGCTCGGTTAATATTTGACAAAAATACAAAAATTATTAATGTATAATTATGAGAACAAACGTGCTTAACTCTGAATCTTATACCTCTCTTTTTCTTTTTTTTCTTCATTTTTAATGCTTCCCCCATAATATTTTGCATCTTTTCCCATCACTTTCCATTATACATTACATTTCTTTTGTCCTAAGTTGATTCGAGTATACACGAAGTCTGAGAGTCGACTATAAAACATACACTAAGATAGAACGAAAACGTTACTTGATTCTCCCAGTCGTTCATCAATTGCTCCTTCGTTGATGCCGACTGCGTGTACATTTGAACGCGTATTTTAACTCGTAATAAAGTGGCTATAATAGTCCACGTTCGAAGGACCATAGCGAAGTCAAAGTAATCCAATTTTCTCTTCTTTTTCTTTCTTTCGAGAATTTATATGAGTACAGATTTACACTTTTCTCCGAAAAAAAAGGAAGCTAATCTACATTTGGTCTTCCGATCTTTTCAAAACGCATCCTACTCATACCGCATTTTTTATGTATATATTTATATATATACGAGTTTATGTATTTATATATTTATATATGTATATATATGCAGTCGCTAACAAGAGTTTACTTACAACTATTTACCTCTCGCTTTTATATTAGCGATAAAGCTTTGTCGACCATCGGACTCGTCGGTCCATAGTATTCGTGCTAGAAGAAACATTCCTCACGTTTATCGTACACGCAAGTCGTAACAATTCTCACAGCACCTTTGTGAAAAACGATTCACATACATTTATCTCTCTCGTTCGTTCGACGATTTGCTTTGAACTTATTCTCGTTCTTTTTCTCTCGCTCTCTTTCTCTCTCACTCTCTCTCTCTCTCTCTCTCTTTCTCTTTCATCAGAGAAATATCTGCGATCATTCATTTTATTCACAATGCAAAAATGTAAAGTATATCTTCAAAATATGTGTTTCATTGTTGGTCAATATATGTGTATTATTTCGTTCCGATTAATATGTATATAGCTATACAGTTCGCGCACTTCTAATCAGCATGAATAATGTAATATTAACGAATGTGTACACCAGACGGAATCGATAATGGCTTCTTTTCTTTCTTCCTTTCTTTCTTTCTTTGTTTGTTTGTTTTTTATTACAATCTCATAATGAAAAAGATACAAATATCGGTGTTAATCACTGTTACTGGACATACGTTACTATATATGCTCAGTCGTCTCAATAATCGGTCATGTCAATGTCTCATCTTCATTTTAATCATTCATGATTTCTTAAACAAATTAACTCGTCTCTACTGCGTATACTAGATAACGAAGAACGTGTACGATTGTTTTTTTGCAATGGAAAACATCACATATCATCTCTCAAGCGTGTATCACGTATTCTGCATCACATGCTCTGCATCATGAGCGAGAGTCAAATACGCGGCTATTTTTCGAGCAAACTGTGAAAAAATTACAACTTTTGATTTGATAACGTTATTGACGTTTTTTCTGCAAAAACTTTGAGATACAATAAAGATCAGGACTTTCTAATCTGATGGAAACCGATCCTTTCCTTGAAAGAAATTATCTATTTTCTTTTTGGTATATCTAGAAATGCACTAGTATGCCAAATGATAATCCGTAACGTTTTCAGATTTATGTCAATACTTCCCAAATAATTTCTTGGACAGTAATCGTATACAAGATTTTAAACATAATGTTTATCAATTAAATGACTTATGGCATTTAAGTGCCGACCTAAATTAATGAATAAAGAACAAAAGTATAACAAAATTTTTTTTACATAAAGTTACTAATTTGAATCGCAGTATACTCTTCTTATAATCCATAATTCAAGAGATTCTAATAGAATAAAATGTAAAACGTAATCGTTGTCAATTTTATGAAGACCTATATCAATTTGTTTCAAATTTAATCAAATGTGCGGAAAGCAAGACAAAAGGTAAAGACGGGTATAAAAATAATAAAAGAACAGAGCACTATTTTTACTACATATTTGTGGCATATTTGATTTTTTTTTTTTTAACTACACTTAGAAATAATGCGAGTTGCATATATAGTTCTCCATTTTTAACCGAGATTATATGCAATAATTTCAATATAATATGGAATAAACGTCATATATGCATATTAATGAGTAATAAAAATCATCACTAATCACAAAGATGCGTAACGCGATTAAACCAAGTTTATGCGAGTGCAACGATTATACTTTTCACAAGGTCGCTGTGACGAACCAAAAATAAAAATGCTACAAAACGCGATAATAATAAATTTATACAAGCGTATGTACGTTTCACGCGTACATCTTTATTTTCGCCCTTTTTACGGAAACAGCTGTATGCTACCTCACAAAGATGCGCTTTTCATATTTATTAAGCCAAGATGCTTACATACACGAGAAAAAGAAAAGAGAACAATATAAAGACACACTATTATCACCCTATAATTAGCAGTCAAATATAATACGTTCGAAATTGCACTGTAATGTACAAACGGGAGATCTGGTGCGAACTCGACGGATGTTATTCTTCTAGTTTCTTTTCCGGTGCATCATACGAGAAGGTCGCGATACTGGCTTCGTCATATCCTATGACGTACCAGATGATTTATCATGAATTCTATGACATGTCGCGTCATGGAATTCACGGAATCTATACAGACGATAATCCGTCTTTCGCAATCCATCGCGTTTCAAACGCTACAATTTCATTTGGCACGAGTGCAATTCACAGTTAAGAAGGAATATGCAAATTATTACATATAGGATTTGCACATATATCACCGCATAAAATGCAAGGAATTATTTTATTGTGATATCGCGCTCTACGCCAGTCTTTTGGAGAAGTTTGCGAGTGTGCTGAACTGAACAAATAAATTATCAAGTACAAGTGAATGTAGTACACAACATACACAGGAGAGGGAGGGGAAGGGGGGAGGGCGAGAATTGGTTATTCATTACCAGTGAAGGAAGCATCCGGTCAATAATTGCATATACCTTTCAATTTTCAAAAGTATTCACTTTCCATTCCACATTGACTCGTGTTATTCTCGAAAAAAGTGTCTCGTCTATCAATTTTATGCGTCATTTTTAACTATTAACGACGTCAAAGTCTCTATGTCACACAATCGCGCTTCACAACAAAGGACGATTTGTTATTCTACTAGTAGGATGTTATGTTCTTACTTCGTCCTTCCTCTGTGTCGCGTTCGAAACTTTGTCTTTTGTTTTTCTTTGTGTTTAGTTGCTACCGGTCCAATAACTAGGACTATATCCAGGCTTCGCTTGAGCTTTGTTCTGCGAACTCGTATTGGACCTTTGGTTGCCGCTGTTGCCGCCATCCTGATGAAGCGGCTGGTGCAGCTGATGTGGTATAGTCGGGATGAATAAGTGCGGGGCACCGTAACCACCGGGCAAGCCAGCATTTTGACTACCCGTAAGACCGAACGGTGGTGGCGTAGCCGAGTGGAAAGTCTGTTTTTCATAAGACTAAAAGGATCGATTGAGTGAACATACGTACATAACACATTCAGACGTTTCTAACGACGATTACTTTTGAGTAGTGTTACTTACATTCACTTTACCAAGAGCGACATGACTCTTGGCGTACATCGTAGCGCTGATGTCTGTTGCGGAAGAACCAGCGGTATTAGTGTTTCCCGTGGAAGTGCCAGTTTTACCGGTTTGAGTTCCGGTGTAACTACTACCGGCCCCCTTATATTCTCCAGACGGGCCAGCGGAAGCCAGCGCATCGTAGCTAGCACCAGCGCCATAACCAGATCCATAGCTACCCGACTTAGCGCTATACGCGCCGCTATTCGTCCCGGCATTGCCAGCCGTTGCTATTTGCTATGATACAAATCGGCTCGATCTTAGCATTTTTTGGTATATTTCCAGAAGGAGCCACAAACAACAAAGTACTCATTGGAAGCACAAAACTTACCGGATAAATGGCAGGAGTTCCATATTGAAAACCTCCCGGCATAATCCCACTACCGTAAGTAAATGCGTATGCGTATCCCGGAGGAAGAGTAGGATTTATCATTGGCTGTTGATGCTGTGTGGCGGTCTGCAAATCCCATAAGATTTGAAATTTTTAAACATCACGATTTTTGTTAGCGACGACTCTAAGCTTGTCGACGAAACTCACCTGCTGCGACATAGTGGAAGGAACTGGCGATGCGTTGCTGTCGTTTCTAGCAAACCTGGCGTCGCTAATACTGGTATAGGCTCCCTGGACTCCTTGAACACCCTGTACGCCTTGCACACCAGATAGGGCATCACCTCTGCCACCACCGAGACTCGTAGCCGGACCAGTCGTCTGATAGCCCAGAGCCGCGTCATAGTAACCAGTAGTTGGCTGCACGTTAGTCAGGAAGGCCAAACACAAAACTACATGCATACACTGTGTACTCCAAATACAAGAGAAGGCTAACTAATGTCTACGCGTACCGAGCTGGGACAACATGCGGTTGTTTGGGTCTATTGCTATGTATAAAAAGTACTCAAGGTACTCTCATCCGACTTGAACCGATAGAACGAACTACTAATTACGCGTACAGTCGCAATACATATACGAGTACATTCGCTTCCCGCTATCGACACGCTTCCCATGTTTATGATAAAAAATATTCGAGTCAAACAACAAGCTAAAAAGTATAGTAAAACCTCCATCAACCATTTATATATATATATATATATATATATTACCACACGGAAATATAATGCATATTTTTTATATAATCTGAGATACGTGACATCATTCGTACACAGCCTACAATTAAGTCAATCAAGACAAAGAAGGAAGAAAAATAAGTCAAGATAGATCGGAGATCGAAACAATTTCGTAAAGTATATCAAATAAGTTTCAGGAATATTTTTCCCAGCTTTCCATCATCGAGAAGATATTTTTGAACAAAGTAATGTCGAAAAGCCGATCTGTCTTTACCAATGTAATTATTTTATAACGAAACATCTTACTACAGAGAAATAAGAACGAATTTATGGTGTTGTCGTGAAGGCATCCATAGGAGTTTGAAACGTTTCGGAAAGAATATTGGAATTACGAGCAGCTACCAAGCAATAAAGAAACGATTACCTCAGGAATTTTCGTACTAGATAATAACATAAAATAGAGTAAGCGCTTCGAAGCAGTATAAACACACATTGTACTAGCAATGTGTAACATTAATTGTAATATAATATATTATTGTTTCAGTGTATAATGCCCCGAAGAAGCGTTACTCAGAGAGCAATGCATTTATGTTGGAATGAATAGAGAAATAAATAAACTGATCCAGATCGAAAAGTGACTGACCATGTGTGGTATTCTCTGTTGCACAAGCTGTATATCTTCGTAGCTGTACACGGGCTGCTGGAAAGCTGCATATGGTACACCCGCTTGACCCATGATATATGGATGACTAAGCATCGGCGTCATACTTCCGGCCGCGCCACCGCCTGTCATATTGCCGGTACCACTGCTACCCGTCACTACTCCGCTCGACGTACTTTTTGGAACCGCTAAAAAGAATATATTTTCGTTAAAACGAATTATTTCATTTAATATGTTGAATCGCTCAGTCTTAAAGCAATCATCTTTTAAGTAAAAAAATTTCAACTTTTATCTAATATAGGAATCTTGAGTGGTAAAATATCCACTGTAATAAAAAAATTAAAATAAAATCCTAAGATAACAAATAAATGACAGTACTTATTCGTTGGAAAACTTCAAATAACAAGAAAAATGAAAATTTACTAACCGTTGGAATTCGTCACTTTAGTCTGTGAACTATTAACAGACGTCGAGGTGAGACCCAACGTTGGTGCACTGGTCGTCGCGAGAGAACTGTTTGACGTCGTCGCACTGCTATCATACTGTGAATCCTTCGTCGCAGTACTGTTCAATTTGTGATTGTGAGACGCTGCCTGCGGTTGACTGGCATAACTTCCATATGGATTCGCGTACACCTATTAATATTTTACACATAAATATGTATTATCAAACTGTATAAGGTATACTAAAAGATACAGCAAAAATTTGTACTAACAGACTGCGTGGCACTCTGGTAACCGGAACTTTGCGTTATTGGAGATGTGAATGTCGTGACTGCTATTGAAGACTGATATTGAGGCTGATAAGTTTGATATCCCGCATTACTGTTTGATACCGTGTTAGTAGCCTGCGCTGGATATTGTGATGTTGTAGCTGGTACATATCCGCTTGCGGACGGATAAACCTATCAAATAAAAATTGTTTTAATTTTAGAAACTGTAGAAACTCATGTATCTCTGACATTCTTGGTACAATGAAATTATACCTGACTGCTAGTGGTGGGCTGATTGTAACCGGAAGTCGCTGACGCCGATGCAGGAGAAGGTTGACTGAAATTTGACGTGTTGGATTGCGGAAACGACGTTGACGAGTTGTAACTCGCCTGTGAAACTGTTGCTGTCGCGGAATAACTATTCGCGTTAGCGCCTGACGCATTTTGGAAGCTAGACTGAGATTGGTTATTAGTCGAATATGCATTATAGGTGCTTGGCGTACCACTCGACGGCTGGAAAGATGATTTTTGCGACGACTGGTAGGTCGTCGTACCACCATACGTTGGTGCGTTTCCGGGTGAGACTTGCGACGTGAAATCTTGTTTGGTTATATCCAAGCTTTGGCCACTACTGCTTCCACGAGTGAAACCTTGGGAACTAATCGTATGCTCATTGGATGCTGGTAGAGTGTCGGTACTCTGTAACTGAAAGTATAATTGTAACCCGATATATCAAAAGACACATACAAAGAACTAACTACAAAGAATAACTACAAAGAAAAAACCAATTTAACAAAAGTAAAATTTACCATCTGTGAGCTGGCGTTGAAAGGTGTAGTGGAAGTCTGCGTAGTTTCGATGTCGAGCGAATTACTCGTATTGGCAGTGTTCGCAGTATTCGCACCGGAAGAAATGTCTACACCGGCGATTGTATTATTTGTGGAATTATATTTTTCATTCGCCGAACTGTCGATGGAGCTGGAATCGCTACCGAATTCAAGCGCGCCAAACTGTACATCGAGAAAACCGATTCCACTGTTGACCGCATCACCAGGCATTTCCACAGCACTCGATGGTATTTTTGATGGTGGAGGTACTCTTGGACGTTGTTTTGTTTGTCTTTGGGGCTATAAATATAAACGCATTGACCATTTCAAATTTCAGATAGTTCAACGCAAAAAGATTAATTACATACAACTTTGAGAATTTATAAAAATATAGCAATATTGCAAATACCTGACTGGACATTGATGACGAAAACGACGTTTGTGCAGCTGCTTTCAAGTTTTCACTCGTCTGCTGAGTAAGCTGCGTCAGATATTGAGTTTGTGCCGCTGTTAATACGCCACTGATAGCGCTAGGTTGTTGTGACAATTGCATCGTCGGCAAGCTCAATACTTGTTGTTGGGCTTGCTGTTGTTGAGGTTGTATTAAATTCTGCTGCTGCATTGTAGACATATCCGACAATTTTGGTAGCTCCTATAAATAATATAAAAAATACAATTATTCGAAGGCAAGAAAATATATCTAAAAATATTTATATACTGATAAAATTTTACCTCTTGTTGAAGCAGTGACAAATTAACCCCCTGACTGGTTTGCGTGGATATTTCCTGGGGCTTTTGTTCTTCCAGAACAGGCGGTGGTTCAAGGATGTTCGTGCTCGGTGTGAAGACTTTGGTATCTGCCAAAGATCCTGTGTACTCCTCGTTATCCCAGTCTTCTGTAGAGTCCAAATTATTCCAAGCATCTATATATACAGTTTATCGTATAGCTGTAATATGTTTGATGTAATATGTTCGACACGTATGTACATACACATATGTATATATGTGTGTACATGTTTGATCTAATGCTTTATATACAGAGTGTTTGGAAATTAATGATAAGTCTTTCGCACAGGGGCAGAATGGATTAAACTGAGAAAAAAGTCCTCTATCATTTTGCAATTTTTGCGATAGTTCTGAAAAAATTCGTAGTTCT